ACAGCAAGCTGTGCTCAGCCCTGTTCCTGAGTCCGTCTCCTGCGGCTCCTGAGCGAAGTCCTCCCTCCACCAGGTTGTCCAGTGTGTGTCCCCACGGTGCAATTCAAAAGGACTTTGCAGACTGTCCGTGTAATGTTTCATTGTGCAGGCTTCACCAGAGAGGAAGGAGGAGTCGGTCCCTTGACCAATTAGTGAAGGAAAAGCTGGTGGGGAAGATGTTGAGAGGGGAAGCGATGGCTGGAATCCTAGGTGAGCCGGCCTGTGACTTTGGAGTGTTATCAGCTAGGCCTTCTTGCTTCATTGCCAAGAGCATCTCTACTTCACAGTGACAGTAGAGACCTGTTGTGTCTGAAGGGAAAACCTGTGGCACGGCGGTAGTTCACGGAGGAGAACAGCAATCATATTGTGGTTCCAGTTCCTTTGAACGTACACTCAGAACTGTTTCTTCTGGAGCCTGTGGTAGTTTTACCTCTAATCTTCTGAAAACCCTTAATACTCGCTCTCTTTTTTTTAAACGGCATAGAAGCGGTATGTAGGGACACAAAGTTGTCATCTCAGCCAGTTACCCTGGGAAAACTCATTTTAAAAACTGTACAGGTCACATTTATTGTAGCTACACTGGCCAGAGCAAGTGAGTTTGTGGGAGGGAGCTATCCCAAGGCCTGAGTGCAGAGAGACCAGCCATTGTGAAATATCACTGTCAAAGCCCTGCAGTGAATACACTCAGTGTTCAGTTTTGCTGGTGTAGTTTTGAGAGGAAGCAATGTAGATTGGATGAGACATGGTTTGTATGAAATTTAAATATGTCAAGCAAGACGTGCTAATAGGACACTTCTTTGTCTTTGTTTAGAACTCCACTAAACTGACAGAAAACTAGGTAATAAATATTGTCTAGAGTAGCATTCCATAATTTCTCTGACTCAATAATGTTCATTAAACACCCAACCTTAAAACATTGAACCATTCCAGAATAACATAGTTATTAAACAAGCAGCAGATATTGCCATTAAAACTGTGTATAATTGAATGATGAATCTTTACCATTTAATAAAATCCCTGGTGTTCCTTCAACAAGATCTGTTGTGGCGGTTATCAAGTATAACATGCTCTTTCTACACAGGGAGACATTTCTGTTGTCTTGTAGCTTTTCCCCTGTCTTTGTGAGTTGAGATCTGAAAGCAAGGCAAATCTAGTGAGTTAATTTCTGTTGAACTTCTCTTCTAGCTGTGATTGCACAGTCCTCTCATGTCTCAAAGAGTTAGGACAATGGACACATCTGAGGTAAGTTTATAGTTAGCCTCACCTTGTTTTATGTTGTATTTCAGGACTTTTGAAAATTGTGATGGAAGAATAAACTTATATAAGATAGATATATGCAAATGATACCATTGGATGTGTTGATGGAGATACATTATAAGGTTCCTCACTCCCCTTGGTTGTTTTGTTTTGTTTTGTTTTGTTTGACACAGGATTTGTCTGTGTAATAGTCCTGCCTGTCCTAGAACTTGCTTTGTAGATCAGGCTGGCCTTGAATTCACTGAGATCCACCTGTCTCTGCCTCCCGAATGCCAAGATTAAAGGTGTGCGCCACCACTGTCTGGCAATATAAAGTCTTTTGTAGAGTGATTAATAAGCCACATGCAAATTGGTCTCTGGTTTTCCTTATATGGTCTATTTGTTATAGGGGTTGAATTGACTCAGAAAGTGCAAACTCTCATGTCCTTTTAAGTCCAAACAGACTTCATGAACATATGCCTGATGTGGACAGAGCTTCATCTCCCAGGCTGGAGATGAACACAGCATTCAACAGTGTTAGCTCATAAGTCCTCAAACTCAGATCGATTCACAGGGGTTTTCTTTGCTGGCTAAAGCTGTATAGTTCCAGACAGCTTTTGGAAGACTGCACTTAATATCAGATGAGACCTGGAGTGTATAAAGACAATGTACTCCGGATCCTTCATTTCTCTCCCTACATTTTCTCTGCTTGTGTGTATATGTAGATCATAACAATGTCCAAACATACGTTTCTAGTAATAATTTGTCTTTACTGTTTGCATTTTTACTCCTACTCACTGTACTCTTGGTTCAGATTCTCAGCTTTCATCACAATCAAATAGAAACACTGTTCTCTGCCAGCTGCCTTACTTACATCTCCTGCCATGCTGCAGAGTTCTGCCCATTGTCTTCACCAGGAGGGTCTTCATCTCAGTCGTGATGCTGATGATGCTTTCTTAGCTGATTTTCTGAGTTCTTTTTCTCCTTATCATAGCTTGTTCTTTTCTTCTGCTCAGTTCCCTGCTCATTCCACCTTAGAGCACTTCTGTGATCCAGCCCTTTGGTTTGAGTTTAGTGACTGTTTCTTGGTAGCATGGACCGCTTGTTTAGCTTCCAGATCATAAATTTAATGCCTATGTTGATAAGCAAAGGCACACCAAGCTCTCTTTGTCAAAATGAAAGTCATATCCTCCTTTTTTCCCCCCTATGCATTTGGTATTGATACCAGTCTATCTTGTGGCCTTGATGAGTATGCTAAAAAAAGGGGTTTTTTTTCTTTTTCTTTTTCTTTTTTTCTGGATCCTTCTTTCTATTCCCTCCACTTCCTTTCCCCTCCTTTGCTAATGTTATGAGTTGCAATTCCTGCTAACTTTGTTGTTCGTTCTTGTTCCAGTGGCAGCATGTGATGCTGTAGATGGTGAGGAAGTGTAGTTACCTAAAGACAAATGTATTCTTTCTTGTTCACATTGGAACTGTCCATCTCTGGTAGGCTGGAAGGGTCTGTTCTCAGTGGTGATGCCTGAGTGCTGATGAACTGTACTGCTAGCAAGCAGGTGTGCTAAAGGCCTTGGGAGTAAGTGAAGAAACAGAAGTGAGTGGAGGATAACCATTTGTGTACAAGTCATGAGCACACATCTGAATAATGTACATATCTTGCTTATATATTTCATGTCAATACTTCCATCTAGTTTATAAATCATACAAAATATATTCCTTGATCAAAAATGTTCTGACATAATTTTAAATGCAGGAAACAGGACCAGCTAGATTGAAGTCCCTACGGGGTTGAGGCAGGACTCTCTACAAAGACTATAATAAGTACATTGGGTCAGGTTCAACAGCTTGCCTGATGTTTCCCACAGACGAAGCCAGAGTGTAAGAATCTGCAGGTAAAGATGAAAAGAGTACCCTGCTCTCTTACCTTACCTGACCTACACAGTAGCTCAGGTTCGTGGTCAGAAGGAACACTGGATTCAAAAATTGAAGCCAAAGGGGATTTGGAGAACAGGAGTGTTGACATATTATCTGGATGTGAAAAGAGATAAGGACATTTGTGTCTCCTGTCAAACCGCATCAGAAGTGACCTCAGGAGAAGACTTTACAAGTAAAGTACTTAGCACTAGAAACTTTTAAGATAGGGTCTCCTTATGTGACCTTGGTTAGCCTGGAGCTTGCTCTGTAAACCATGCTGGTCTTGAACTCAGAGACCATCTGCCTGTGCTTCCCAAGTACTGACCTTAAAGGTTTGCAGTACAACGCCTAGCCACGAGGACCATTGTTTTGTTTCTGTTCCCATAGCCACATGCCCTACTGGCCTAGCTGTCTTATATTGACTAGGAGCAGTACTTCTACCAAAAGCCACAACCATGAGTCTATTCAGCTAGAGGGACTGATTTTATCCTGAGCACTTTACTTATGACTCTAAGGCAATAGGTGGGAAAGGAGCTAGTGATGGTTTTCCTGCGAAATCTAGATTACCAAGGGAAAATTGGACCAGTCTACAATGGAGATAAGGGAGGATGTTAATACTTTTGTTTTGCTCTGACCAAATAAATACCTGAAAGAAATCACTTAGGGGAGGAAAGATTTATTTTGGCTCATTGTTTCAGAGGTATCAGTCCATCATGGCAGTGATGGCAGGTTGGAGTGGCTGGGGCAGTGGAGATGAGAGTGTGAAGAGGAGCAGCTGTTCACACCATGGCAGACCTGGAACCTGAGAGAGAAGTGGGAACCAGGGGCAGGTATAACCTTCAAAGACACTCCATTTCTAGCCTACATCCAACAGCCAGACCCTATCACCTAAACCCTCTATAGCCTTCAAAGTAGCACTCTATAGCCTTCAAAGTAATACACTTTGGATCACATAACTTAAAACAGTGAGCCTGTAGGGAACATTCCATATTCAAAGCATGAAAGGAAGAGTATGCCTAGCATATGGGAAATCACTAAGGGCATCTCTTAGTGTAACTGTGCCCTCTTTTAGCCAAAACAATCCTGTCAGGCAGGACTTCAAATAGTGCAGACACTTAAGTTATGACTGTGTGGGTCAGCTCTCCTAGTAAAGAAACAAGGCCTGCTGAGACATTTGCTGAAGGCTGGGGAAATAGAGTGAGTACTAGAATAAGGTAGATAGCTAACACATACATACATACATACATACATACATACATACATACATACATACCCAGTTAAAGAAATGAAGACTAGTTATGTCTGTTTTATAACAAGTATGTTTATGTCTGAGCATGTAGCTATGGTAGATCACTTTTCAGGAATGTTTTTGTGTATGTCCACATATATCAAGCAAATATTTTGGATGTTAATTTTTTTTCTGTAATTTTTCTTAGGTGTAGCATTCGGAAGTAAACATTTTTAGAAGTCACTACATCTTTTTGTGACTGCTGTGTCCTTGTCTTGGCATCTAACTTTAATGTATATGAATTCAAATTTCTCAGCTTTTATTATAGTTGTGTGTTTGTTGATTCCACTTCCTTTTAGAAAGGTATTTCCTCGCTAAAAATTAAAAATAGAACAGTTCTGACCCAGAGTCAGTGTAGGCTGTAAACTTGGTTCAGTGTGCATATGTAGGTGTTCATCAGTGTTTGTTTGCGGCATTCCCTGGAAGACCCTCAAGACTGGGTCTTCTCTAGCTGATGCTGTCTCTATTTCCTCAGTTGTCAGAGCTATAGGTTATGTTTTGATAAGCAACAGCTGGAGCTTTGTGAAGTTACATAAGTCAGGTGTATATCAATGGCCACGATAGCTTCTTGATCAGTGAGGAAATGAGCAGCAAACCAAGTGCCAGCTTCAAAAGGTCATCAGAGGTGGCAGGTCACTTCTTCAGGAAATTCCGTAGGCATCTAATCCTGTTTGAGTTGAAGTGAGGTGGGAATGGAGGTATGTATTCTGTTCACACAAACAACACTGAAAATGAGTGAGTAGGCAGTGGTCACCATGTCTTGGAATCCTCTTATACACATAAGCCAGCACATCCAAGGTACCAGCTTTTTAGTGCATTGTGCTTATTATCTTGTGTCTCAGAATGATTCCAGGATTTCATTTAACACCCGTTATAACTGCTCTTGTTTCAGATATCTTACAATTTATAGATGAATTTCAGCCTACCGTGTACAAAGTATAACAGATTGGAGTATGTGTGGGAACCTGGTAATGAGCTGAAGGGTAAACCTTGAGAGGCATCACCTTCACTACAGTCTTGAGTCTTGGGCAAGTGTGGTAGATGGCTTTAACTCTGAACATTAGACACCTTCCTAGATGAGGCTCTGATTCTATGCCAGACTTACTCTGTTTCCCAGGAAGTTTGGTCTTTGCTGATGATGAATGAAAGTCTTTCTGATGTATTGTGCTCAGAGAACAAGAGCCCTTTCCTTCTCTTTCTCATTCACAAGTCTGAAAGCTGTTTTTTGTCTAAGTCAGTTACTAGGCACCATCTTACCTTAAAAGGTAATCAGAGATGACAGATCACTTCTGCAGATATTTCCATACAGTGTCAGCTAGTCCTGACTGAGTTGAAGTGAAGTGGGAATAGACATTTATGTTCTGTTCTTGATCTATACATACCACCTTAATTTGACTGTGTTCCAAAAGACATTAGGAAACAAGTTATCATGGGAAAACAGATGTTTACAGGTTAGCAAAACCACAGGATTAAAAAACAAAAAACAATCTATTGTTTCCTTCTCACAAATTGTCCCCCTTCTTTCATGTCATATAGGTAACACATCAGTTCCTATATATTGGTTTATATAGAAAGCTTGGAAACAAGCTGGTCTTTTTATCAAAGACAAAGGAAATTAATGAAAATGCTATTCTTTATTTGCTGTTGCTGCTTTGTGTTCCTTCTCTGATGAGTTCCCAATTCCTTGCTACCTCTTTTGTCTGCCTATCCTCCAACTCTTGGTCCCCATGCCACAACCTTCCACAGGAGTGGGATCTGTGGGGCTTACCACATTGCATGTCTTCGGTTCTGTGTTACTAGTGCTGTTTCCCAATGTGGAATTGTGAAGTGATTCTTCCCCTCTAGCTGTGCCCTAAGACCCTCCCCTTTCTCCTCTCATGGGATGACTTTCAAAATGTCAAGCCTTGCTTATATATTGCCTTATGGGATGCTAGTGATGTTTATTTCTGTTGGATCTAGCAGTTCTTCTAAGTTTTGGAAGGGCATGTGTGGGTGCCTATGACTGTACTTTATAAATAACTTTATAAATAAAGACAACATGGACTACTTAGATTTGTAATTGTTGGAGTCAGGTATTTAAGTGGGGGAGCCAAAGGATTATCAATTGCTTATATTTGTTTTGTGCCTTTAGTTTCTCATGATTACTAAATTACTATGTTTGTAAAATATTTTATAGACGATTTTTCCTCCATGATAAGAAAACTTGTATGTCTATCTTGTGTAAACGATGCTTGTGGAGAGGCGTGACCTCCTGTATTCCTGTCTCTGACCCAAGGCTGAAGGCAGCTTGGGCTGAGGAAAGTTGTTTCATTACAGGGGTTGGTGACATTTGAGGATGTCTGTGTGGACTTCACCTGGGATGAGTGGCAGGACCTGGATGATGCTCAGAGGAAGCTCTACAGGGATGTAATGCTGGAGACCTACAGCAGCCTGCTGTCCTTGAGTGAGTGAAAGTCCTCAGTAATCCTATTAGAAGCTATTCCTTTTGGGTAAATACAGGAACTACTTCCAAGGATTTTTTTTGTGCTAGTGACCAAACTGAGTCTTGTGCAATATAGGTAAGTTCCCAACACTGAGCTTTATCTCCGGACTGTATTTTTTTTTTTTTTTAAGATTTGTTTTATTATTTTTTATGAGTATTTTACCTCCATGTATGTGTGTGCACCATGTGCATGCAGTGCCCAGAGAGGTCAGAAAGGGTATTGGAGCCCCTGGAACTGGAATTACAGACAGTTGTTAATGGCCATGTGTTTTCTGGGAATCAAACCTAGGTCCTCTGCAAGAGTAGCAAGTATCCTTAATTGCTGAGCCATTTCTCCAGGCTACTATTTGGGTTTTTTTTTTATATTTGTTTGTTTGTTTGAGATAGGGTATCAACATAGCCCTGGCTATTCTGAAACTCACTATGTAGACCAGGCTGTCCTGGAACTTAAGGAGATCTGATTGCCTCTGCTTTCCAAGTGCTGGAATTAAAGGCATGCTCTACCACGTCCAGCACTATATGTATTTTTAACTGGCACATCAGAGTTGTACATATTCATGAAGATGTTCTGCCTCCCCAATGTAGCGACATTAGGCTAGATGAGCAGCTCCTCTCTAGTACTCTTCTATTCCTTATTGTAGTGGATATATATGCCTCATTGAGCTGTTAACACAGTGAGAAGCAGCAGAGAAAAGAGAGAGCATCAGCACTGTCATGTTGAACAGCAGAAGCTAAAGTTTTATATTTATTTCTTAAAAAACTATCCTATATACTGCACATGATAGTGCACAACTTTGATCTTATCACTTGGGAGGCAGACACAGACAGATATCTGTGAGTTCAAGGCCAGCCAAAACTACATAGAGACTCTGTCTCAAAATAATGAAAACCAAATGTACAATGTCTTCCTGTTAACTGCTCTTCTGGTTTTGTGCTTGTATCAGTTTTTACATTTGTGCTGTCACTGGTATTTTCTTTGTACTAATTTCTACTTTGGTGTTTTATCCCTTCCCTGCCCCTCTTTCATTCATACTTTTGTATACTATTGCTACAATACTGCTTTCATTCTATTGTTTTTCCCATATCTTACCACATTGTTTAATGGTGATCTAGTTTTTATTTGTTGCAATGCACATTTTTGTTTGGGTTTGTTTTTACAGTTCATCATTTAGGACAATGTTATCTATGTTCAGTGTTCTTTTGGTAATTTTTTTTTTTTTTAATGCCTGCCTTGGGTGAGGGAAGGGTTAGATGTATATTTTATTGTTTGCTTGTGGTCGATGCACATCTGTTTGGGGGCTTGCCTGACTCTCTGCATGCATGAGGAGGCCACGGGAGGCTTCCTCTACTTTTCCCCCTTTTATCTTGAGGCAGACTCTCAGTGAGCTAGAAGTTTGCCTTTCCAGCCGGGCTATTGGCCAGCAACCTTCTGGGATCTGCTTATCTCTGTCCTCCTCCTTCTGCCCCCACCACCACACCCAGCTTTCATCTGCATGCTGGGCCTCCAGCCCTGATCATCTTGGGTATACAAGCATTTATAAATTCTCTGACCCCATTTGAAGATGAGATCTTCCTGTGTAGCTTTGGCTAGTGTATTAGTTACTTTTCTGTTATTGTAATAAAACACCATGACCAAGGTAACTAGACAAGAAAACATTTAACTAGTTTCAGAAGGTTAGAGTCCATGATGGCAGAACAAAGGCATGGCAGCAGGAACAACTAAGAACTCACATCTTGATCTGCAAACAGGGTACAGAAAGAGAACACTGGGAATGGCACGTTGACTTTTGAAACTCAAAGTTTGCCCACAGAGACACACCTCCCCAATGTCCAAGCAGTTTTACCAAATTGAGAACAAGTATTCAAACGTAAGAGTCTATGGATGCCCTTCTCATTCGGATCATCACAGCTAGGCTGCAGCTCACTATCCTTTTACCATACTCTGCCCAGTGTGAAGATTATAGGTGTGAGCAACCATGTCAAGCCATCCCTTACTGTTGATTTCTAGTTTTGTTCTTTGTGGTCTAGGACTCCTAGGGTTTGTTTCAGTTTGCTTTTGTTTTTTGTTTGTTGGTACTTTGAAACTTTTTTTGTTTACTAATATTTGATCTGTCTTGGAGAGTGCTTTGGCTGTTGGGTAGAATAATTCTATGATGTTTAAAGCCTCTTTGGTCTCTAAATAAAGTTTCAGTGCACTGTTAATTTACTTCTTGTGTGTTTGCATTGTGTAATTGGGTCCTCCAGCACTGCTGTGTATGTGTGTGTAAAATGTTATAAAATGTCTGTATATGTGGCTATTAATACACATATATCATTATAATGAGCCTTGTCTTTTTTTATACTGTTTGGTTTTAAAGTTACTTTGTCTGACAAATATAGTTAACAGTTTCAAGGTCTGTATATGTTGGCCATCACTTCAGTCCCTTTACTCTCTGTCAATCTAGATGTATCTTCACTGGCACAGTGACTTTTGCTTAGGTAGTGCATCATTAAGTCAGCCTGTATCTTCTGATTCCCAGACTACACTCTTAGAAAATGTTATTCTGGGGTTTTGTTGTTGCTGTTTTTCTTCATATCTTCTGTTCTTTTCTGATAAGTCTTTGTTGTTTTGTGATTTCCTGTACAGATGGGAATTATTTTAAACTTACTTTCTGTGCATCTGCTGTGCATGAGTTGTGTTTTCATGATGGTACTCTGGAATATCTAGTGAGGACAGTCACCATTTCTTGTAAAGTCAACCTGAGGTAATGAAAGTTTTCACTTGTTTACATTTGGAAGCTTTCATTTCTATTGGAATGTCCTGCTTATGACGTTATTGCTTAGAAATACTTTTTGATATTTTTTAATGTATCATTTCATTTTTTCTTGGTCTGTAAAGTTTCTACATTTGGAGATGTTTACTATGCTATAGTGGGTGTTGTTTAGTGTGTGACATACTGTTTTGTCTTATCATTTAAAGTTGGTATTGCTTTTATTATATTTATGTCTGTGTTGTGGGGCATGTATATGCCATGGGGTGTATGTGGAGGTCAGAAGACAACTTGCAGAAATTGGATCTCTCCTTCCATCATGTGGTTCCTGGGGATTGAACTCAGGTTATCAGTCTTAGACGTAAATGTCTTTACCTACTGAACTATCTATCTCATCTACCTTTTTTCCACTTTCTTAATTTGTAAAATTTTGTTTTTTGAAGTTATAATCTCTCAGCCAGGTATGGTGGTGCACACATTTAAACCTCCCAACACTTGGGAGGCAGAGGCAGATAGATTTCTGAGTTCAAGGCCAGCCTGGTCTACAGGATGAGTTTCAGGACTGCCCTAAGCTACATGGAGAAAACTTGTCTTGAAAAGCCAAAAAAGAAAAGAAAGAAAGATGTGCCACAGCTGGCTCTCGTGTTGTCTTTGTTTTGTAGGATTTTTTAATGATATTTAATAATGTGTGTCTGTGTGCATTTATGTGAGTACAGTGTTCACATAGGATGCAAGAAGAAGGTAGATCCTCTGGAGCTGGAATTTACAGTTGTTTGTGAGCTGCCTAATGTTAGTGCTTAGAACTGAACTCTGGTCCTCTGCAGGATTAGCATTTGTTCCACTACTGAGCCATCTCTCCAGTCCTGTTTTGGACTTTTCATAGTTGACTGTAATACACCTTGGGAATTGATCTGTTTTGGTAGACTCTGGATGTTCTTAAAGCTCTCATAAAATGTTCTCATTGGTCCTGTCACTGCCCAATGCCCATAATAATATTTATATTGATTTTATGTGTATGTGAGTTTTACCTGCATGTATGCCTGTGCACAACATGAATACAGTGCCTTCAGAAGCCAGAAGAGGACATCTGGTCCCCTGGGACTGAAGATTAAAGCAGTTGTGAACCCTCCATTTGGGTTCTAGGAATTAAACCCAAGTCGTCTGCATGAGCAGCCAGTGTTCTTAACCTCCAAGCCGTCTCTCCAGCCCAGTGTATAGTCATTATTTAATCTATCTGACTTAGTAGTGAGCCAAAACTTGTACAATATTTCCTTTTAATAGACCAGTGTGATCCCAAACCTGAGTTGATCCTGAAGTTGGAACAAGAAGCTGGGCCATGGAAGGCAGAAGATGCCCTAAACCAGAGCCTCCCAGGTCAGTGAATATACCCTGGACAGGGATGCCAGATTGAGGAAGCTCATCAACCTGTGTTGAGCTCTTTTCTCCATTCTTCCAATATTCCAAACTTGAGAATGAGTGGTCTTACTCATCCAACAATCAGTATGTACAGTCTGCAAGGGAGGCTCTTCATGTAAGTACATACCACTCACATTAGTCAGGATTTCCTGGAGGAATAGAACTGATAAAATACACGTGCATGCGTACATACACACACACACACACACACACACACACACACATATTGGATTTACTAAAGTGGATTACAGGCTATGGCTCAAGTAATCCAACACAGGCTATCCCAACAGAAAGATCAAGAATCTGGTAGTTGTTCAGTCAGGTCAGTGAGACTGGATGTCTCAGCAGTGCCATTTTGTGCTGGGGTCTCTGAGGATTCCTAAAGAGCTTCTGTCTTCAATAGGCATTGGAATCCTGAAGAGGATCTAAAACCAGTGAAGGAATTCCTCAGCAAGATAAATACACTTGCCACTGAGAGCAGAGAGCAGAACAAGCAGGCAAAAAGCAAAAGCTTCCTTCTTCCATGACCTTTTATATGGGCTGCCACCAGACTATTGAGCTGAGATTTAGAGTGAGCCTTCCCACCTCAAATGATCCAATCCAGAAAATACCTCACAGGTGTGTCCAGCTGCTTGGGTTTTAGTTGATTCTAGATATAGTCAAGTTGACAACCAAGATTAGCCATCACACCACTTTATTTATTTTTGCCATGTATTATCTTGGGCTTAGCAAATTCCATTCAAGCCTTCTTCACATATCAATTCATTCCCCTTTCTAGTTTCTGTAGTATATTTTCATAGTTGAAAAAATTCTATTCAACCTGTGGTTGTTCTTAGACATATATGTTGGTGAGGTTATTTTATTTAGGTTCTTACTTGTCCTTTCCTCACTTTTATAGCCTGATTTGACCATTTATTCATGTATTTATCACTTGTTATTTGCTCCCTCTTGTACACTTGTTTGTTATTCTGGAACAAACAGTGGCAAGTCAAGAAATTTATCAACATGCTAAAGAGCTCTCTTGTGTTGAGAAACAGAAATTTTGGCATTTTAAAAAAATTATTACTCCTTCCCAAAATCTCCCTTGAATGAAAGAAGAAAAAAAAATAGTTAAGGTCTAAAAAACATGCAATTTTAAGAGTATCACTTTCTTTTGATTTAATTTTAGACTGCTGATTTCTAAACATAGTATATAATATTTAGTTGGACAGGAACTCTCAGGAGTGCTTATTATTTTGCTAAGAATCCAATTTTGATATTATTAGTTTGAAACTAATACTAAAAACATAGTTCTTTAGGCAACTCACCAAGGGTTGATAGAATATGAGAGAAGATACTGGAAATGAAATCATGTATATGCCGATAGCAGCCTCTGTGACTCTAAGAGGCACCTAGTGCAGATTCTAGGATGGGGTACATCTAGAGCTTAGTGTGACATCAAGGAGACCTTGGACTTGAAGGTCAAATGACCCACAGATTGCTTGTTTCTGAGCTCATATTTTGTGAAGGGTTGTACTGAGTAATTAGTCTTCCACTTTTTTCTTTGTGGAATCACTCTGATTTGATATATGCAGTGAATCTGTACAGGAAACTCCATTTGTTTCTGAAATTTTAACATAATCAAAGTGCCAAAGCATAAATAAAGGCATGGAGAAGCATGATTTTATGGATCAGCATGTCTGTGTTCACATGGATAAGAAAGTGTCAGTCATTCATGTCAAACCTATGCAGTGATTTCTAGTATTGTGGGTACACCTTGGCTTAGAGAACCAAATGTTTGTTGATTTCCCTATATGTTGTACTCAATTCAGATTAAACTAGGAATATTAAAAATCTATTCTTCTGTGTATGGAGGAATATTATTAGTATTTGAAAAACACAAAGTGTCTGCATTATTCCATCAAGAATTCTTTCTTAAGTAACAGACAAGTGTACTACAGTTGTTTTATATGGGTACTAACCAGAAAGCCTTTTCTTTCTTTATTTCTCCTAGATATGCAGCATGTGAATGACCCAAATGAGATCAGCCAGGACAATCGACAGATACATGGATGCAATCTGGTAATTGCCAAGAGCAGCACATCAGCTGAGGAGAGGGCCAAAGCAGGAAAAACACTTACTAGTTCAAACTGTGTTTTAAGGCTGGCTGTAAAGAGTAACATGTCTTCTGGTATGAGACCTAGGGCACTTAATATGTGGGATAATGCACTTCTTCCTAGTGAGCCCAGTGAGATGCAGGCTGTAGAGGAACTTGATCTTCCTAATGTAACCAGGATGTCCCCCAGATTTCCTGAGCCTCTTAGTCTATATCACAGTACTAAATGTGAAGAACAGCATTTCCAGTATTGTGGGCATGGCAAAGCTTTTCACACGAAGACAATGTGGTTACAGAATGCATTTCCTATCAGAGATCCCTCCAGTAAGTTGAAGAACTACAAGAAAGGATTAGAAAAGTTAGCTTTTCCTACCCAAGGGGGGATCGAGGTACAGGAGCAAACTTTTGAATGTAAAGTGTGTGGAAAATTGTTCTATAAAAATTGTCATCTCACACAGCACTTAAAAACACACAAAGAAAAGAAATGTTATAAAGGTAATGATTGTGAGCCAATATTCAGTATACAATCAAACGTCCCAAAACATCAGCATTTGAATGTGGGAGAAGAATCTTATACGTGTAATGAAGATGAGAAATATACTTGTCAGAAACCAGAAAAGAGTGTTCAGCAGAGAATCATGGGGGATGGAAAGAATGTGTATAGGAAAACTATTTGTTCAAAATTAAATCACAGTGTTCAACAAAGTCCTCACAAGAATGAGAAATCCCATGAATGCAGTATATCTGGAAAAACAATTATAAAGTCAGACCTTCAGCTTCAGACACCGCACAGATATGAGAACGCATATGAATGCAATACATGTGGGAAAACATTTAACCATACACCACATGTTTACTCACATTCGAGAGCTAACACAGCTGAGAAACCCTACGAGTGTAGAGACTGTCAGCAGTCAAAACTCATTGTGAATCAGCAAACTCACACGCAGGAAAAACGCTACGTGTGTAATGTATGTGGAAAAGGCTTTTACAAAAGAGCTCACTTGAATGCACATCAGAGAACTCACACAGGTGAGAAGCCATATGACTGTAAGGAATGTGGGAAAACCTTTAGGCTGAAGTCATTTCTTGTTGTACATCAAAGAATTCACACAGGTGAAAAGCCCTTTGTATGTAACACATGTGGGAAAAGTTTCAAGCAGAGGACAAGTCTCTACACACACATAAGAATTCACACAGGTGAGAAACCCTATGAATGTAAAGAATGTAGGAAGTCTTTTATCCTCAAGTCATATCTCACTGTACATCAGAGAACGCATTCGGGTGAGAAGCCCTATGAGTGTGATGTATGTGGAAAAGCCTTTAAACAGAATTCTCACCTTCATGCACATAAGAGAACTCACACGAGTGAGAAACCCTATGAGTGTATTGTGTGTGGCAAAAGTTATAAGCAGAGTCCCAGCCTCTATACACATAAGAAAATTCATACAAGTGAGAAGCCCTATGAATGTAGACAGTGCAGGAAATCATTTAGTTTGAAGTTCCATCTCACCAGACATCAGAGGACTCACTCAGGTGGAAAAGACTATCAGTAAGAGGTGTGTGGATGAGCCTCTCAGCAGAGCTCATGCCTGTGTACGTCACAACTCACTCAGGTGAGAAATCTTGTGAATGGGAAGAAGGGAGAACAACTATCTGCCACGAGTCGTCTCCTTGCTTATTAGGAGCTTTTCTGAAGAGCAACTCCATCAGTCTTAGGTATGTGGAAAGACCTGCTGCCAGATGTCAAGCTGCTACACACAACAGAGAATTCATGCAGGTGACAGAATTTTATAATTTAAAACTAAGAAAATATTCCAGCCAAAGATACATCAGAGAACTTACAAACATGAGAAACTTTAAGAGCCTATAAATGTACAAAATATCTCAACCATAAGATACAACTCACTGTTCATTAAAACACATACAAATGGTCAAAATGTTGAAAAAACCTTTCTCCAGATATTATATCTCAGCAGTCATTAGGTAATTTACACCCTATAAGGAAACCCTATGAATGTAGAAAATCCTTCAACCATAGCTCATTCTTTACTGCATACCAAAGAAGACACATGGGGACATTTCCATGAATGTTGTTTATGTGCAGAAAACACTCAAGACAAACCTCTGTGTCCACCTGAAAACTCAAAACTGAGAAACCCTATGACTATAAATACTGTAGGAAATATTTCAACCCATAAAGCCGTCTGTTGCTGTACATGCAAGAAGTCACATAGGTGAGTAACCCAAAATACATAGGTCAGTATAATGTAAGCCAAGAACCCTTTAAGAGATGCCAAGTCTCTTTGCATTAAAGAACTTGCAGTACTGAGGAATCCCAAGAGTTATCTACAGGGAAATGCCTTTTTCAATAGGCGGACCTCTCTAAACATCAGTGACTCTGTCGGAAGCACATGAGCCATGTATGTGGGAAACCCTTTTACTGGCTGTCAGAACTTCACTTCATACAGAAGTAATCCCTGTATGTATCTGGAAGAGCCACATAAGTCAGATCTCAGGAAACATTTGGATTAGCACAGAGGGGACACTGTAAAGTAGGTAATAATGTGGGTGGTGTTTCTAAGAAGTCACTCAGCAGGAATTCATCCTACAAAGTCCTTAGTTCCAGGAAGCAGACTATCACATGTGTGCTCCCCAAGATTTATTTTCTGTGCTGCACTTATCAGCCTGTGTTTTGCAGTCCATTTCTGTTCGTGAGACCTCTTACTAAGCTCTTTAGTGGGATGTAAATGCTTGTGTTCTATTTATTTCTATCCCACTATCCCCCAGAGTCTTACAACAAACTCCATCTGGGTGCCCATCCATAGCTGGCCTGAAGCACAGAAAACATCTAGCATGTTTGGGAGCCATGTGCAGAAAGGCACTGTGGCTTAGGAATGTGTTTTATCCAGAGAGCCATGATCCTCCTGCATGTTTTTACCATCTCTAGTGTGTGGAAGAGAGATCTGCACAATCTGTAATAGTGCAGACCCATGGCCATTTGTTCACCCTAAGAGGTGGGGGAGACAAATAGATTGTCGTTTTAGAACACTAACAGGAGAAAACTCCTTTGTTGTCTCTCTTCATTCTCATGCTGCTTATGAAGAAGAAGAAATCTTGATTAAAATTCCCATAAATACTGGGTGTGTTTCTGGTAGGTATCTTCCATTAAACAGATCTTTGCACATTTCTTTTATGTGAAACCTTTCAACAAAATTTCCAGTCAGGTTTCAAAAATCCTTGACCAAGGAAAATTATCACTATGGGATCTGTACATTAATTTTTCTTGGAGAAAAAATGTTAAATCTCATATTCCAGTTGTTTTTCGAAATCTGCATGCCAGGAGATGAATATTGGTACTGCTGCCTATTAATGTCTGGGGGCATTATAACTAGTTTGGGAGAAGCCAGTGGCACATACACTCATGTATGTATGGTTCGTGTATATGAGTATGTTATATCAACTATGTTCCCTGATGAGACTAAGCAGAAGGGACTCTCCATGGCTTTGTGTAATGTGTTGCAATGTACATTGATTAATGTAATAACATGCTGCAATGTACGTTGTATTTCCTGCATTCAACGCCATTCTGGCCTCTTTCTATCTTCCTAGCCTCAGACATTGTATTATATACTTTCTTAGTCTTGTGTCATCTAAATGTGTATGACAGTTGTTACTGGCTCAAGTAAATAAAGGTATTCTTTTCTTAACATGATGTCTTGGAGTGGGCCTGTGTATCTGATAGGGAAGGTATTTACAGTGAAAAGCACAAAAAAGAACATTTGTTCACAAATGCTGAAGTGTGAGTTGATTTTGGACTGTTATGAACTGTAGTGCTCAACCCCCCCACACCCTCGGCGGGGGGGTGCGTTAATTTCCCCTGTATTCCTCTTTCTCACACTTTTAAATGGGGCATCAGCATAGGTGAGTTTGTGCACCAAATTCTCTGAAAATAAGGTTCTTTCATTTCCATAGAACCTGTCTCAATGTGATGTGCTGAAATTAAAGTACTTGCTATATAACCTGAAATGTGATGAAAGATACATACTCTGAGTCAGGCATTGGTGGTGCACACCTTTAGTCCCAGCACTTGGAAGGCAGAGGCAGGTGGATCTCTGTGAGGTCCAGGACAGCCAAGACTACTCAGTGAAACCCTATCTTGGAAAACAAAAAATAAATGAAAGGGGGGGGGTTAACAAACCAACATAAGCATTCATGCTTGTGGGAAATCCTGGCACTTTGGAGGGATTGGCAGCATTATGAGTTTGAGGCCTGTGTAAGGAGTCACTCCCAACCCACCTTCTGCCTTACACATGTGAAGATGCACACACATACACATTTGTACCTAGACACTCCTGCCAGCCTCCCCAATAATAGACCTACTGCAGTAGTCATCTTACTATTTTATGTGCAGACTTAAGGAAAAATGGTGAGGCATGTAGGAGAGACAACATAGTCAGGTTAAAAATAATTGTTCCAGAGAATAGTAGATTACAGTCCAAAATAGTATTATAGATTTAAAGCAAAGTAGGTACTTACAGAGTATTGAAACTCACTGACACAACATCTCTAACTATGGATTTAACAACACTTCTTAGTATATAAAGCAAAGCACTCAAGGGGAAGAGGTTTGGAACTAGAGTCCTGTGGTTGGAAAACTAGGGCTAGAGGAGACGTTTGGGGGACAATATACATTTCTTAAGTGAAAGCCATGGTAGTTCTGCTTAAGCAGACATTTGGATATGTGGAAACCCAGTGCCAGGCAACCAGAGCCAAACAGGTGCCTTAAGAGGTTCCCATTCTGCCTGTCAATCTTCAGGCAACCCAATCTGGTGCTAAAGGCCTGGAGGGTTCTTAAGGTCATCAGTCCACACCAGAAACTCAAAAAATCTGGTTATAACAGTGAAGGAATCAGCAGCAGCAACAACAAGATAATTACAAAAGAAATTCAAAAGAAACAGCTCTCGTATCATGGCAGATAAAGGTTTCTTCTGGAGCTAAATGTAAGTGACCATGGTCCCGTGTGATGGCTAAGCTTGTTTGTCAATTTGACTGGGTCTAGAATCAACTAAAACAAGTTTCTGGGCTCTCTTGTTTTCATAATGTTTCAGACCGTTGAATTAAGAGTTTTCTTAGATTATTTGAAAATGGAAGACCCACCCTAAATCTGGGTAGTACCTTCTGGTCAAAGGACATAGAAGGAAACGGCTTTTTGTCTGTTTTTCCTAACACTTGCTGGCAGGTTCATCTATCCTGATGCTGCAGCATTCCTTCAACGATATTAGAACCAACATCTTTAGGATTTCAACATAGACTGAAGACCAGTGGCTCTCCCTCTCTGGGAATCCTCCAGGATTTCAGTGCCAGACTGGGACTGTGGAGACATCCAGCCTCATGAACTCTTTAAAAAGTAAAACTTCATTGGGGTGTTAAGAGGAATTCAAATGATTACAGAAAATAACAAGCAAACCAAAGTATTAAAAATGTTTTACACAACAGTATAGAAGCAGAGATGATGAACAAACCGTCCTGACTTAGTGGCCTAACAAAAGAGGCTCAGAGTGAATAGATTTAGACTCAAGAGCTGAACACAAACTTGCTCTCTAATTGGTAGACACAGCCTCTTACAACAATGTTTGTTAGCGATGCTGAAACTACCGTACACCCCAGTAAATACACTAGAAAACTTTGGTGTGGTCTCCGGAGTAGTCCACAAGTGAGCAAACACAGCATGCTGCAATGAACCTGTGGTTCTGGGTTACAGTGGGCAGAAACCAGTATGGTTCAGTGACTCTGTCACTATGTCTGTGCAGAGTCAGACAGACTGCTGGATTTATCTTCATCAAAAGGAAACAGGTTCTAGGGAAAATGGCTAATTCTAGATCTGGGGGAAAAATGTAAAATGAACCTTGAATATTTTTCAGTGTCAGGAAATAATGGGGTGATGTAGCTCAACCAATAAAATGCCCCCCTGTTTCATTGCATGCACAGTGTCCTCAATTAGATTTTCAGCACAGCATAAAAACCTAATGGTAATTCATGCTCATAATCTCAGTACTCAGGAGATGGAGTTGGAAAACAACTTCCTGGATAGGAACAAGGGAGGATGTTCTGGAGTGAAGGGGTCTCTGCCATCACCATGGCCAGCAGAACAATAATTTTGGAGGGAGGCAAGAAAGTAATTCAGTTCAACATGACTCAGTAGGTGGTGTTGGTTCAAACTTCAGGACACTGACCCTGAGTAGTTTATTTTAAGCACATTTAAGCAGAGCACAATCTGATGAAAACTTTTCTGATGATAATTAACTCAATCCCATGTGCACAATAAAGCTTAGATATGACTGCATTGAAATCCTTTGTAAAGTACCATTTTACATTTACCTCTGTAATGTGCCATTTTCCATAAAGATGGTTCTATAGATTGGCTGTAGGTAATATCTTACTTATAGATTCTATAGGTTGACAAGCTCAGGATAAGGGTCTGGGGGAGGATCCAGTGTGGTGCCACCAGATAGTGCAAACATCACCAGACTACTGAGCATATCCATTCCCAACCTTCTGGCTAGATTACAGGTTATGCATCTTTTTCTTTGAAAGTACAGCACTGTGTTTAGCATTTCTGGTTCCCTTAGTGTTTCTTTGTGAGTACAAAGACTTCTGTGCCTTTCACACTGGAAAAGTATAAAATATTAAAACAGATGAAGAATATATGGATGTATTTTTGTCTAAGGTGTTCATTTAAGGAGCTGGAGAGATTGCTCCATGGTTAAGATCACTTACTGCTTTTCCTGAGAACCCATGACAGTTCTCAGAACACACAATGTGGCTCAAAACTGTAATACTCCAGTTCCAGGGTGTGTAACCTCTGAAGGTACCAGGCATGCACTGGTGCACAGACATGCATGCAGACAAAACACTCAAACACATAATTTTTTAAAAAAATAAGTGTACATTTAATTGTAGCTTCATAAGCCAGGAGTGGTGGCATATGCCTTTAATTCCTGCATTTGGGAGACAGAGGCAGGTGGATCTCTGTGAGTTTGAAGCCATCCTGGTCTATATAGGGAGTACCAGAACATTCAGAGCTAGAGAGACTGTGTCTTAAAAAGGAAGAAAAGGAAGGAAGGAAGGAAGGAAGGAGGGAGGGAGGGAGGGAGGAAGGAGGGAGGAGGGGGAGGGGGGGGAAAGGAAGGAAGGAAGGAAGGAAGGAAGGAAGGAAGGAAGGAAGGAAGGAAGGAGATTTGTAACTTGAGACAAAGAAGTAGTTCAGTGACTCTGAGCACTCATGATCTCGAAGAGGACCCAGGTTTGGTTCCCATATTCAGTGGTTCACAAGTGCCTGTAGCTCCAGTTCTAAGGGATCCAGTGCCCTCCTGTGGGCACTGCATGCAAGTTAAACACATAGTGGTAAGCAGACATACACACACACAAATTTAAATAAAAGAAAGGAAGAAAGTTTGGTGCTGGAGAGATGGTTTGGCAGTTAAGAGCAATGCTGTTCTTCCAGAGGACCTGAGTTCAATTCCCAACACACACACACACACACACACACACACACACACACAATTAAAATAACAATTTTAAAATGTAAATTTCAATGTGTGCACATCTGACTATATAAACAAAGGAACTAAAACATGTATTTGTTGACTGGGTAGGGAATGGATAAAAGCAATGAAGAAAGTTTAATGGTGCCAAATAAGTAGTTGTTGAAGCTGTGAAAAGTTTATTGTTCAGTTTTGTGTGTATATTTACATATGTTGTCTATTTTTCTATAATAAAATATTTATTTTATAATAATAAAGTTAAACCAAGTGTAGTGGCAAATGCCTATAATGCTAGCACATGGCACAGCCTGTTGGTCCTGTGGAGGCTGGAAGATCAGTTCAGTGTTATCTTCATAGGGTACATTTACATGCATACAGGCAAAACACTTATACACCTAAAGTAGAAATAAATTAGTCTTAAAAAAAATAAAAACAACAACAAAGATCTTGGATACCTTTTGGAATAGGCAAGACCAAAGTTATAGAGAGCATGGGAGAGGGTAATTCATTTTTTACTGTTACACAAGCGTATTCTTTATGTAATAATTCATTGAGCTTTTGCACAGTTAATTTTTGTTTGCATGTTATACATTAATGAAAACTACAATATTATATGTTGTCATAAAATTTTCATGGCAGTTTCTTAGAATAATGAAATATAATAGTGTCCCATCATCAGAAGATAACCACCTCCAAATCTTAACCCTTAGGCAACCTGGTAGACTCAACAGTTGTTAGCTCAACTAAGTGGTAAGCTCTACATTTAATTTTAATAAACCATGTATGTCTGAGAATCTGTCTGCATGGGAATGTGTAAGTCTGAGTGAAGGTGCCTAAAGAGTCTAGAAGAGGGTGTTTGGGTCCCCTGGGACTGGCCTTACAGAAGGTTATGAGCTTCTTGGTGTGGGTGCTAGGAATGCTAGGAACAGAACTCGGATTCTTTGCTCTCATGTAGAAGCACACTCTTTACCAATGCCACATCTCATTTTTTTTTTATGATACAACTTTTCCTTGCAGTGTTCCAGTACCATGATGCTCACCAGGCTCACAGTTAGAACAGAGTCCTTCACTCAGCAGGGTACTTGTGGAACTGGTCCAATCAGGAGCAAAATCAGTAGGAAAGGCTTTGACCAAAAGTGTACTCCTAGAAAGTCAACTCTGGTTTTCCTTCAGCTTCTCAGGCATTGTTCTCTATCTAGTAAGATCAAATAAATATCGCATAAACACAGGACATAGTTATTACAGAATAAGGTGAAACATTGTCAAGGGTGAGAATGAGCAAGGACCAAAGACTGCATTGGAAATAGGCTTTTATACCACATACTGAAGTTTCTGGGGCAACTTTCCCCAGAGATTTCTATCCAGGAGATTGACAAGCTTATTTTGATTAATTTGTAAGAATGTGGCAATTGCATGTCTTTGATGTCTTATTTATTTACTTTCAAGAAAAGGTCTTACTATGTATCTTGGCTGTACTGGAATTCTTTATATAAACCAGGCTGGCCTGGAACTCATAGAAATCTGCCTACCTCCATCTCTTCAGTGCTTGAACTAAGGATGGGGTGCCACCACACCCAGCCTATGTGTTTGGTTTTATAACCTTTGAGGCAGTTTAAAATACCACACTTCTACCCAGAGCCAGAGG